CGGAGGCCACGCCCGGTGCCAGTTGGCACACGGGCCACACGCGGTCTCTCCATGTGCCATCGACACATTCTGAGGACAACGACCCGGGACCGGCCCCAACGGCCACCTTGTCAGGCAAATCAAATACACCCCCAGCCCGGCCAGCGTGGCTCAGTGGCTGAGCGTCCACCTATGAGCCAGGAGGTCACTGGTTCGATTCCTGATCCCCAGTGGGGGACTTGCAGGAGGCAGCCGATCCATGATTCTCTCTCATCATTGATGTTTCTCTCTCTGCCTCTACCTTCTTCTCTGAAATCAATAAAAATATATTTTAAAAAAATGCAAATGACCCTGCCCAGGCCGGTTGCTCAGTGGTTAGGGCGGCAGCCCCAGCAGCGAGGGGTCGCGGACTTGATTCCCGGTCAAGGGCTCGTACCTGGCCGCAGGTCCCTTCCCTGGCCTCGGCCGGGGCCTGTGTGGGACGCAACCCGTCCATGTGTCTCTCTCACATCGATGCTTCTCTCTCTCTCTCTCCCTCCTCCCCTCTCCCTGAACTACCAGGAAGTGAGCTGGAGACGCTAAAAAAATGCCCCTTCCATTCTCTCTAAAAGAAAGCAATGGGGAAAACATCCTCAGGTGAGGACTTAAAAAAAAAAAGCAAATAACTTTAATTTGGGGCTCGGAATTGCAGTTACCTGGTCTGCAATCTCTACTGCCTGCCTCACCCCGGAAGTGACGCAGCACGCGGCGTCCGCACCCTGTGGATTTTAACTACATTTTGGTGCCAGCGACCACGTCCCTCCAGCCTGCCCCCTGAACTGGTTTCCCAATGAGTCCATTTCTTTCTTTTTAAATATATGTTTATTGATCTCAGAGAGGAAGGGAGCGGGAGAGAGAGAGAAACATCAATGATGAGAGAGAATCACGGATCGGCTGCCTCCTGCACGCCCCCTACTGGGGATGGAGCCCACAACCCGAGCCTGTGCCCTTGACCAGGAATCGAACCCGGGCCCCTTCAGTCCGCAGGCCGACCCTCTACCCACTGAGCCACACCAGCCAGGGCCAAACGAGTCCATTCCCAAATGGCTTCCAAGCTGCACCCCCCACCAGGTGAGGGGAGCCCCCCCACCCCGAACCCACCTTGGCCATCAGGTCTCTCTCCCTCCTCTCCGCATTTCTCCGCAGCGCTGAGAGCTCCAAGATTTCCTTATTGAGAAATTTGTTCTGGGTCTTGTACCCCTGCAGGTTGTCCTGTTCGAAAAGGAAAAGCAAAAAAACAAGAAACACATCAATTCACGCTGGTTGAATGCGGACTAATTGTTCCATGCCGTGAATATATTTTTCAAATGTTATTTTTTCAAAGTATATTTGTATTGATTTCAGAGAGGAAGGGAGAGGGAGAGAGAGAAACATCAATGATGAGAGAGAATCCTGGATCGGCTGCCTCCTGCACGCCCCCCACTGGGGATGGAGCCCGCAACCCGGGCGTGTGCCCTGAGCGGGAAATGCACCGTGACCTCCTGGTTCGTAGGTCGGCGCTCAGCCACGGAGCCACGCCGGCCGGGCTGTACCGTTACTATTTTGCTGCCTCACCCAACAGCCCTGCCACGTTAGAGCGAGTCCTGAGGAACTGAAAGCTGATGACCAGGCATTTTGGGGGTTAATCTCGGCCCCACCCCCACCCCCCTCCATGGGCAGCGAAGGCAGGCAGGGCCCAGTGCGCTGAGGACGGAGATGGGGAAGAAGTTTATGTCACGGTGGTGACTGTCCTGAACCGGCCGCAGAGGGGGCACCGCGCAGCCTCCGTAGGTGCCCTGGGAGGGTGACGCCCTCAGGTGCATAAGCCAGGCCCCCCGGCCTGGA